AGACGGGGCCTTTTGGAGGTCATCCACGTGTGAGGTCACCATAAGTGTGGGGTGACTTGATGGTGCATAACAGCAATATAATGCACTGTTTTCATTCAAAGCTCCTCATTGCACAAGTTTTTCACCCTCCTGGATTTCACAGACTTCTCACTTAGGAATTCCAGCCTGCCATGTCCTGTCCTTCCATTGCCAGCAGTTCCTTCTCATGTTCCTGTGGTTCCATTTGTTTTCTGTTTGGTCGCTTCCTTCCACTCCCCTCGTTTTCAGGAGGCGACCTAAGACCCTCTTTCTTCTGATACCCCAGTGAGGGAGAACCAACCATTCCATCAGTTTCCTAGAGAAGAACTTCCTACCATTCCCAGTTTGGCCTCTCCTTTGGCACCCTGTAATCCCCCCAGCCCTTCCTTTATTCTTCAGGTCGCCCCCCCACCCCCGCACCCTCTTTCTCTGCCGTTTCCTTCTCTCCCTTTCCAGGGCCATTCAACCCTGCCCTGTCCCTCCCTTTCTCCTCCTAAGCCACCTTGCATTGAACCATTTCCAGCGCAAACGGCCTGCCACACACACTCCATGGATCGCAGCCAGAAGGCAAGGCAGGGATGCTTTCCTGTAATACAGTAGGTTACTCGTCGTAAAACCTTATTTGATTTTTTTAGCCGTAGCCGGACAGCAGTGTTTCCCCCCCTCAGCTTTTTGTCACTTCCTCGTCGCAGAGGCGACATCAATGGTTGAAATGGAAGCGCTCCAGACACAGGTGAGTAGAGACTTGTCCACCAGAGAAAAGGATGGTCAGCTTTTCGATGCTTTTACATAGCTGAAGAGTACTATAGTTGAAGCTGACTTGAAACAGTATTTTGGGAAGCATCAAAGTAATCCACTAGGTGACAATTTGCAGCATGCATTAAATCTTTCTGAGTGGAACACCTCAAAATAAGGGTGCACAGTCCTTCCAGCCTGGAAAAGTGTATCAGTGTTGGCTGGAGGAAAGGGTGACTCACACAAAAATGCACACGTATATGTGTTCTCTCCCCTCCTCCTCCCTCCTACCCATCTCACCATTCTCCATCCCCTAGCAGTTTCCATGGGATTCATGGTGTTTCACTTACCTTGAGGGCAGCCTGTAGTCTCAGACCCAGTTTATGCATCTCTGCCTTGGAGCATATGTATCCATGAAGGTTTTACTTGCTGTGGACAAATAAATGGTTTCTTAAAAGGATTAGCAGCACAATCTTATACATTACTTGTTCAGAAGTAAATTTGGAGCTGACCTCCAGATAAGAGTATATAGGACTTGGCGTCTGAGTTGAGGCTGGAATCTAAACTTTCTAACAGCAAATACAGAAGTTGCAAGATGCTTTTCATTACATTCATTGATAACATGTTATCATTCATATAGACTTCCACATGGAATTATCTATGCCTTTTAACATTCATCCAGTGTGTGAATAAAATTACTGTCTAGTGCATCTTTAACAGGACAATAAAGCTTCAAATGGAGCTTGAAACATACGTTCTTGTCTTGTGCAGCTCATGGCTTCATTTCCACCCACTCAAATATATTTTGCTTCAGTGTTGCTGTAGAAGTGTAATAAGAAAAAGACCAGCCTATGTGAGCCTCTGCACTAAAGGTATAAGAAAGGAAGCCTGCAGATCACTCTCAAAGTCTAGTTGTTTCAGGATTATTATAACATATGTTTTGAACTTTGGAGGATGTGTATAGTCCATTTTCACACTGGGACTGCAACTTTTAATTGTTGATCAAAAGGTGTTTCCAACTAACAAGATGCATTGGATAATTGAGCAATAGGGTGTGTGTTTCTTGACTAATGGTCCACACAAAGGCTTTGCAACACTGGTCAACAGAAGATCTGGGGAAAGTGAAAAGCTTTTCCCCAAGAATTTCAAATGATTGGATGGACATTCATAGTGCAGAACCATTCATCCATCGTCCTCAATCAACGAGCCCCCGTGTGCTATTTGAAGATAACTGGAATTGTAGACTGACACATAGGGTGCTGGGCTGGGGAAAGCTGCTGTCTGAGTTGGTAGAGCCTGGAAAACTCTCTGCTTGGAAGACCTTGGAGAATCATTGTTAATTAGAGCAGAGGACCAAAGATAGGGGACCTTGGGGACTGCATTCAAAGGTGAGCAAAGCCGAAGGAAAAAGAGCTAGGACCAAAAAAAATACAAGGCCTGTTTAAGCTTATAGCTCTGAGCAACTGAGCTTTGGAGAGTCATTTCAGATTATTCAAATGGTGGGAGGCAGGGGGAGGATCCATCATAGGAAGCAACTATGGTTATTTGGGGCTGGGTTTAGCCACAGGGCCCGAACTTCCTCACCCTTGAATAGTAGACATCTAAAACAGTGGTTCTTAACCTTTGTTACTCGGATGTTTTTGAACTGCAACTCCCAGAAACCCCAGCCAGCACAGTTGGTGGTGAAGGCTTCTGGGAGTTGCAGTCCAAAACTCCCGAGTCACCCAAGGTTAAGAACCAGTGATCTAAAAGATGGCTCCATCTTCACATGTTCCATTATAGGCAGGCATTAATCCTAATCAACATCTTGTTTCTCTTCCTCCATGTTACTTGAAACTAAACTGTTGAGCAAGCTTCTCTTGCGATGACTAAAAATCAACATCGCAAATACAATTATGAGAACGCACTTTGCAAACATTATACAGCACAACACACCTGTTACAATGACAAATACTATGTCAACCCATTATGGTACAGATGCACGGCATGAAAGCCTAATCACCCAGGGTTGGGTTCAGTAAAAATGCATTCCCGGTACCCATGAAATAACAGACCAACTCCTTGGAACACAACCATTGCCAATCCTTCTCTAGACTACTGGTTCTTGATACATTTTAATGACATCAGTTCTTTGCTCCACAAATATTACAGCTCATACAATCCAAGAATCTGGAGAACAAAAATAATCAATAGGCATTCTTCTACATCTCTTTGCAGCCGTATGTATTTTGATAAGTAAATCATGTTGCAAGCATTCATAAGCAAATCATATCATGTCATAAGTATTTAATTCGTGGCTAGGATATTTATGATTAGGACGTCGGTGGCTCATAACTTGCTCAACCAATATTGATTTCAGCACTGAATAAATGTTGGGCAATTCCTTCAAAAGCTCTCTGTTGATCTCCCTTTATTTCAACCTGTAATTTTGATCACAAAGTTACATTGCCCTTCACATTCCAAGAGTAGTTACAATCATTCACACATGTTCCTCTCTATTACTTCAGAGAAGCTCACTCCAAAATTTTGAAAGGCAAATACACCCCTTGCTCCAGTCACAAGCTAGCTTTAGGGAAGGGGGCTGGAATCAGAAGGGTCGGAATCCTGTAAATGCTACTTATACTCAAACAGCCAAACAATCTCCGTTTTTACAACCAACGATTTCATACCAGCCAACGATCACCAATGAATCACCATTGCAGTGGGTGAAGAGCCCGTCTGTCATTTCGTTGTATGTATGTTTGAACTCTGCAAGTGCTTCTATGGCAAGATTCTTTCTTGTATTCAGGCAACGTGGCCAAGCTGGGGTGCATCTGGTTTGACCATTCCAAACTGTGGGACTCCAATGTGTAGAACAGCAGAGCTGGCTTCCGCCACCTTGAGAGCAAAAGAGAGGTGCTGAAAAGCTTGATGGCTGACTGGAAAGCTGAATGGCAGGAGATTCAGGATCAAATGAGGCCAAATCACACTACATTCGAGTGCATATAAGGACGTTCTTTTGTTGTGAGCAGATAGCACGAACTGGGGTGTTCTGCAGACTCACCATGTGAGCAGCTTGTTTTAAGTATGAACTCGGATTCAGCGCACTGCTACAAACAGCCCAGGGTCAACTTAAAGCAGAGGTGTGCTGCTAAATTGCAATGGGTAGCAGTGAAGGTATTCAACAAAGGGGGGTCACTCCCTTGAGTTTGCAACAGCCGAGCAGGGCTGTTAAAGACGGGGCCTTTTGGAGGTCATCCACGTGTGAGGTCACCATAAGTGTGGGGTGACTTGATGGTGCATAACAGCAATATAATGCACTGTTTTCATTCAAAGCTCCTCATTGCACAAGTTTTTCACCCTCCTGGATTTCACAGACTTCTCACTTAGGAATTCCAGCCTGCCATGTCCTGTCCTTCCATTGCCAGCAGTTCCTTCTCATGTTCCTGTGGTTCCATTTGTTTTCTGTTTGGTCGCTTCCTTCCACTCCCCTCGTTTTCAGGAGGCGACCTAAGACCCTCTTTCTTCTGATACCCCAGTGAGGGAGAGCCAACCATTCCATCAGTTTCCTAGAGAAGAACTTCCTACCATTCCCAGTTTGGCCTCTCCTTTGGCACCCTGTAATCCCCCCAGCCCTTCCTTTATTCTTCAGGTCGCCCCCCCCTCCCCCGCGCCCCTCTGCCGTGCCGTTTCCTTCTCTCCCTTTCCAGGGCCATTCAACCCTGCCCTGTCCCTCCCTTTCTCCTCCTAAGCCACCTTGCATTGAACCATTTCCAGCGCAAACGGCCTGCCACATCCATGGATCGCCACCCCCGCGCCCTCTTTCTCTGCCGTTTCCTTCTCTCCCTTTCCAGGGCCATTCAACCCTGCCCTGTCCCTCCCTTTCTCCTCCTAAGCCACCTTGCATTGAACCATTTCCAGCGCAAACGGCCTGCCACACACACTCCATGGATCGCAGCCAGAAGGCAAGGCAGGGATGCTTTCCTGTAATACAGTAGGTTACTCGTCGTAAAACCTTATTTGATTTTTTTAGCCGTAGCCGGACAGCAGTGTTTACCCTCCTCAGCTTTTTGTCACTTCCTCGTCGCAGAGGCGACATCAAACAAAACATTTAAAAAAACACACACACACACCAACCAACCCAGGCAAGGAGCCAGTGCCGCCCGGAGGTGTCTCCCGGACCGCTCCGTCGGGGCAGCAGGTTCGACGGCTCCCTCCTTCCCTCCCTCCTGCCTGGGCTGACGGATGCCCCGGGCGGCGCCATCCCGATGCCCGAGCCTTGGGCTTCCCCCGACGGCAACTTCACCCTCTTCCCCTTCTTCTCCGACTTCAAGGGCCCCAACGGCGCGGCGCTCAGCGCCCTGGAGACGGCGGTGCTGGCCTCGCTCTTCGCGCTGGCCCTGGCGGCCAACGGGAGCGCCATCCGCCTGATGGTCCGCCGCAAGGGCCGCCTGCGCGCCGCCAACAGCCTGGTGCTCAACCTCTTCTGCGCCGACCTGCTCTTCGTCAGCGCCGTCCCGGTCATCGCGGTGGTGCGCTGGACCGAGAGCTGGACCCTGGGCGACGGCCTCTGCCACCTCCTCTTCTACCTGATGAGCCTCAGCGGCAGCGTCACCATCCTCTCGCTGGCCGCCGTCAGCCTCGAGCGCCTGGTCAGCATCGTCCGGCTCCGGCCGTCGCAGTCCTACAAGAGGAGGCGGGTGGGCGCCCTCCTGCTGCTCATCTGGGCCTTCTCGGCCCTGACCACCCTCCCGTTCTGCCTCTTCTTCACCGTCCAGGTCGTGTCCCTCCGGGGCCAGGTGAGCGCCAAGGAGGGGCCGGGGAACCCAGGGGAGATCGCAGGAGAAAACCAGCAAGGTGCGGGAGGCTCGGGTGGCCTTGGACGGGAGGACCAAAACCCTCCGCGTAGCGACCTTCTGGAGAGCTCGGCGATTTAGGTATCTGGCTGCGAAGCCCGAGGTTGGGAGTTCGATTCCCCGCTGGGCCTTCTTGGGAAGGGCTCGTCTCCATGATCCATAGAGTCCTATCTAAGATTATTACAATTACGTATTAGGCATACGTAAAGGGGCGATCATCCAGAGTTGTAGGACGTCTTTTCAGTTAAATATTTATTTTTGATTTGTTTCCTGCCTTTTCTCCCTGGAGGACAAAGCTGTATACCTTGTATCATCATTATACATCTGCTTGTTTTATCCTTACAACATGGATTTAGCTGAGAACTGAGATCACCCGCTGAGCTTTGTGGAGCTTTGAACCTTTGGTCTCCCCAGACCTGCTTCTGCAACCAACCAAGTTGAGATACACAGAATCTGACCTCTCTCCCCCTTACGCTGTTGACTAATGACTTTTGCAAAAGCTGTGTACAAGTTGCTTTGGAGTAAATCCATGCCAGCTGGGGGATTCTAGGAGGAGTCATCCAATTTTTTCCTCCAGGCAATGCGCAAAATTCATTTAAATAGGTATTCAGAGTTGATTGATACATGTTATTGCTGATGGAAAGTTACTTTATTCTTGTTTCGAATTTATGAGTCACAGTGGGCAATAATGTGAAGTCTAACTATCCCCTTAAAGCAAAGCAATGCTCAGATTAAAATACCATTAGAAGTACCCACTTCTCTGGCATCCTCATTCTCACCCACAAACCCCAAATATATAATTAAGAAAGCCATACAATACTTTCCCAGGTCTGATAGGTATTCAGACCTGGAAAATGGCAATCTCCAGAGCCGATGGAGGCACAATTTCAAATTGCTCCTTTCCTCGGGAGGGTGGGGAGCAGTGGAAAGCTCCTTTAACTCTTGTTTTTATTTCAAACCCTCCAGTGCCATCTGTTCTTTGGACTTACTTGCAATCCAGTATAAAACACTCCACATTTGAATAGCTACAAAAAGAGAAACTAGACAATGACTGAAATCCAATAATATGTAGCAGTTTGAACACAGTCCCATTGAATCAGTTGAATGTACAGAAAAGTTGACTCACAACTCCTCTAGTTGTGACTTACAACTGGATTTTAACCAATATTTTAAAGACATATCTAGCAGCAGTGTCTTTTTTTTTCTGTCTTACTTTGAAGCAAATTTAGGGGATCTAATCCAGACCAGGACCCTAATATGGAGAATGTTGGGATATGCCACCAAGTTACTTCCGACTTATGGTGCCCTAGCAAGATTTTTGAGACAAGATGTTTAAGGAGTGGTTTACCACCACTCCCTGTGAGTTTTCGTAGCCAAGTGGGAGTTTGATCCCAGGTCTTATGCATCTTAGTCCAACACTGTATCCATTACACTTTTCTAACTCTTCTGCGGAGAGAGTAGAGGGACATTAATCCTTATCCTCCCTGCTTTGGGCCTGATCCTGATGTGGTCTATGTTTTTCTCTGATTTTTATAACCAAAGTGAACTATTTGTTTCAATGTACCATGTTCCAGCAATAAAAATTGTAAGTGGGCTGGTGCTATTTTAAAGATATAAAAACTTGAGGCTCCGATCCATATTGGGTCCCGTACCCTTAATCCAGAGTATGTAAAAAGAAAAGAATGTGTAGCTGTTACCTATGGCTTTAAGCTTATCACAGAGTCATCTTCAGAAGGAAAACAGTGACAGTAATTGTGGAATCCAATGGTGCAGGAGGTTTATCTGCCCGACACCTAGCACAGAAACACTGCATGCAGGCATGTGGCAGGCATTACTTCCTATTGCCACTTGCCTTCCTGGCATCTAAACTTCACCCTGGGGGTTGGATGTGCTCTCTAGCCTTACTGACTTTCCCTCTAGTTACCACTTTAGCTTCCCCACTAGCCTCTGAGGTCCTTCGCCATCTTTCAGCTGTGCCTTCCAAGTCTGCTGCAGCAGGAGAGTTTACCATTTCCTTCCTTCCTTCCTTCCTTCCTTCCTTCCTTCCTTCCTTC